ACCCAATTTCCCTTGCCAGAGACAACCACTGTTATCAATCTGTGGTGTATCCTCTGGTAGTATTTTTTTCACGGATGTGCATAAATCTTCCCTCTTTTGAAACAAATGGCAGCACGCTTCTCTGCAACTTTTCTCAGTTAAATGAGTGCCATGTTTTGAGATATAACCATACTATAAAAGTCACACAGCAAAAAAAAAATAAAAATAAAAATAAAAAGTCACACAGCACAAAATAGATTCATTGGTGGGAGATGGGGATGTAATATTTACCTCACAGAAGATTCCTTATTTACAGAAGGGCTCAGGCAGGATTCCCTTCAACAGAGACCCATTTGAATTCATTTTCATGTGTGTGAGAGAGAGAGAGAGAGATCTCCTTGTCCTCTGTTTCTGCTTCATCGGGTGTAATGAAAAAGCAGTGGACTGGAGGCTACCCTTGCTTGCCATCACTCAGGTCGGTTCTGCTCACAAAGACCTAGAGTAACCATTTCATTTATGACCCGAACTCAGACACCTCTAAGGGTGAAAGGGGTGCTCCAGAACCACAGTCACAAACCAGGATGATCTCAGGAAAACCAGGGTGTCCAGTCTCCCTGCTGAGACTCTCCCTGAGTTTTAGTTTCTTGACTTGAAAATAGGGATGTGAACATGGCATCCTCAGAAAGGAGGAAATTTCTGGAATAAATCAGGAAAATACAGGGTCAGTTGTCTCTTGTGAGGTTCAGAAAACAAAGCAGAATGGGTTTAATCATTTATTAGAGTAACATTAAATGAGCACAAGCAGAATGAAGGTATTAGCACAAAATGTGATTGTTTTACGTACACACACACATAGATCATATATCCAGGAACATTGCTGTAACCCACTTTTACGGCATAGAAATAGTGAGAAGTGGCTCCTTCTCCTTAAGTCTTATGACTTAGGTGCCTGTGAATGGCTGGAGACGCAGATGCTGGGGCTAGCGCCCAGGTGAGGGTCTCCCGTGGGACTGTATGTGCATATATAGCTGCTGGATAAGACGTTAGAATGGAAAACAAGAGACGTCAGATGAGAAATGGAGGCAGACTGAATTCAGGAAGGCACCGTGCCCACATGTCCTGAAGCCCCACCCCACACTCTAGTCCTGAGTGGAAGCCAGGGAGTCAGCCAAGCTATGCTGGAATGCCAGGTCTTATCCTTAATAAGAACTCAAACTCCTGGGCCTCACTGGGAAAACAGATGGCTCAACATACCCTAATGAAAAACCCTCTTGCAGAAAGCTTCTGTGTCTCCCATTCCTTTCCTGAATTAGATCCAAACGGTGACTAAAGTGTCCTCAACGGAGGGCAACCGAGGATATTCCGGAAAGAGTGATGGAGAAATTTCTTTCTTTTTCCAGAAAGGTCTGCACCTTCTGTGCAGACGACAGCCAGCAGAGGGCCAGGCTCTCAACTTGAAGGAAGGAGAGCGGGGCTGGTGTCCAGAGCAAAGAGGCTCCCACAGGGACAGCCTTCTCTCTCTCTCTCTCTCTCTTTCTCTCTCTCATCCTCTCATCAACTCCCTGCAGAAGTACCCTGCTGTCAAGGCGTGCTGGGAAATAGCCCTGTCCATCCTCCGACACCAACCTCAAAGCCAAGTTTTTCAGAAATAAAGGAGGAATCAACATTTTCTTCTGGGCAAAGTCCCTCCCTCTTCCTTTCATCTCATTGAACTGCTTTGGGTTGTTGTTGACTTGTGCATATAAGAAGCAACCACAGAGTTCATTTGTCCATTTAGTCTGTAGCCACTGGTCGAGGAGGTAATGTGTGCTGGCCACTGTTCTGAGAAGCGGGCCACTCCGGTAAATGACACGGCTGTGGTCCCCATGCTGACGGCATGGACGGCCACGGAGGAGAAAGACAGGAAAGAGACGAGCAAATAAATGTGAAATTATACACTCCGTCAAGTCACAGAGGAAAAGAACAGGGTGAAGTAAAAGAGGATAATGCAGGGGAGGAGAGCGGGGCGGGGTGGGGGGGAGTCGTGGCAGTGATGGGGGAGGCCCTTCATGATCCCCAGCATCCGGGCCATCTCAAATAAAGCAGTGTGCTGACTAGGCAAACAAAACCAGTGTGTTTTGACAACTCTGCTGGTTTCCCTTCCAGCCAGATGGCTGCTTCTGGGCCCTTTATGGAAATTCTAGAGCTGTGAATTGTCCCTGAGCCCCAGACGGGGACCAGGGTCTAAAGGCGCTCCTGGATTCTTCTATGAGCCATATGTATTTTGAGTGCCTTTTCTTTGGCTGTTATAAGGAGGCAAAAAATAAGACAGACATGAAGCTCATTTTGCTCTTCACCCAAATGAGCCTCTCCCACCACGGCTGGGCTATTTTTTTCTGACCCTAAGAGGCCATATTTCTCCCCATTAGCAGAAGGGAAAGCCTGAATTACACGTAAGGAGAAAGAGGGTGACAAAGAGGGGGCGCCTGGGTGGCTCAGTCGGGTCAGTGTCTGACTCTTGATGTCAGCTGGGGTCATGATCTCAGGGTTGCAAGAGCAAGCCCCGAGATAGCTCCATGCTGAGTGTGGGGCCTGCTTAAGATTCTCTCTCGATTCTCTCTCCCTCTGCTCTTCCCCTCCCACATGCACGCTCTCTCTCTTAAAAAAACAAAAAGAGGGCGACAAAGGCACCACAGTTGAAGACCTCATGAAAGCAGGAAAGGCGTACTTGATAAAAACCTCTGCTGATTGCAATTCCAGGTATTGAAAAGCAGATGTCAGGGACACCTGGGTGGTTGAGTCAGTTGGGCGTGTGCCTTCGGCTCAGGTCATGATCCCAGGGTCCTGGTATCGAGCCCTATGTCGGACTCCTTGATCGGCAGGGAGCCTGCTTCTCCCTCTGCCTGCCGCTCCCCCTGCTTGTGCTCTCTCTCTCTCTGACAAATAAATAAATAAAATCTTTAAAAAAAAGAAAAGCAGATGTCAGTGCCACCATGCACTTTTTATTTTATTATTGTTTGGCACTGTTTAATCATCGATTGGTATTAAATCAACACTTAACCTAGTTCTGCCAGCATTGTTCGAAGGACTTTATAAATATCGACGCACTCAATTCTCATAACAACTCCATGAGATAGATCCTACTGTCATCCCCATTTTACAGATGAGGATACTGAGGCACAGAGAGGTAAGGAGCTTGCTTGAGGTCACTCAGCTAGTAAATGGCAGGGCACATTTTTGAACCAGCAGCCTGGCTCCTGGGCCCATCTGCCTGACCACCGTGCTGTGTGGCCTCTCTCTGTCTACTCACATACCTTAAAAGGTCACACAAATGTATATATATGACGAATATCTTTGTTTATAAACTAGTATCTCTTTCATGGTTAAATAAGTGATTTTAAGATGGGAGCATTTAAGGATCTCAAGGCTGTCTGGTGCCTTTGGCAAGGAAAAAGGATCAATTAAGCAATCTACAAATAGAAGTGAAAACCGTCCATTATAACATTGTCATGTAGCTTCTAATTTTACCTCTGTTAGGGCACGCACGTACATTATAATGCTGGAACTGAAAAGCTAGGGGTTTATTCTTTGAGGGTTCCAGAAGATAAGCTCCTAAATCCCTACATTTACTTCTTCTTCTTTTTTTTAAAGATTTTATTTATTTGAGAGAGAGAGAATGAGAGACAGAGAGCACGAGAGGGAAGAGGGCAGAGGGAGAAGCAGACCCCCTGCTGAGCAGGGAGCCCGATGTGGGACTCGATCCCGGGACTCCAGGATCATGACCTGAGCCGAATGCTGTCGCTCAACCAACTGAGCCACCCAGGCGCCCCCCTACATTACTTCTAAGCCCACTTCTCTCCCTCTCCCTGTTACTCTGGGCTCAATCTCTATGGAGACAGTATTACATGTGCTTCAGAAATGACACTAGAAAAAGCGTATTTTTCCTGTTTTGGAGCCTTGGTGTGGGTGAATTGGGGTTTTCCACTCAGCTTGGAAAAGGCTGAGAAGCTGCCTTGCTGGAAAAGTTTAGCTGCCCGGTTTTATTTTGCTTTGTCTTTGCTGTCTGTTACCAGCAAAATGAACTCATCCTGAGGTTTCGCATGGAAACTAATTTCGAGTTTCTTCTGCTCTTGTAATTTGCCTCTTGCCCAAGACCGGACGGAATCCATTGGCCGTCTTGGTCCCAACACCCAGGCACTGTCCTTTGCAATTCAACAGCAGAGGGTGCTGCGGGCCTGTGGTTGCCCAGGGCTCTGCCAGGGAAATAAAAGAAGAGGACTAAAAGAGTCCCTGCTAGTTCAGCTAGCCTGAAAGAAGGCTTCTAATCATCCCGTTCCTTTGTTGCTCCGAAGACCTTGTCCGTGGATTGTGGGGTCATCAGCTGTTTCCCAAAATGCAAGCAGGGAATCAAGAGACGGGGTGTGGCCTTCTGGAAGGGATTTGTCGTTTGTGTTTTTGAGTTTTCACCCTTCTCTGATTAAATAAATGCTCGATATTTTATGCATTTACGTCCACCAAGACCAGAGATTTTGAATAGTGCTGGGTCCTAACTTAATTCAGAAAACAGTATTCATTATTCCCATTTTCCAAGGCTCCCACTGAATTTCTTTCAATGGCTACAAGACAACAGACGGCTTTTTTTCTTCTTTTCATTTCTTCTTAAGCTGAGGCTTGAATGTCTACTCCAGGTTGTCTCTCAATTTTTCTCCATTTTCCTGAAATTCTGCATCATTTTTTCCCCCTTTCCTTGACTTCCTCCAGCCTTTACCTCTTGATTGTTGATGGGAAAAGTGGGTGGTCCACATTTCTGGCTATTTCACTTATCTTTTGCTCCAGGCAAGTTTGCTTTATAAGAAGCTAGATGTTCTCAGGGATAAATCAGTGGGTGATTTTTTTTTTTTAAAGATTTTATCTATTTGAGAGAGAGAACACAAGTGGGAGAAGGGACAGGGGGAGAGGGAGAAGCAGACTCCCTGCCCAGCGGGGACCCCGAGATCATAACCTGAGCCGAGGTCTGGTGCTTAAACAACCGAGCCACTCATTGTGCCCCAGTGGGTGATTTGTTTTTACAAAATTCTTCACAGGAGGCTTTCATGGCAAGACACGCTGATGAGTTCATAATACAACCGGATGGACACACCTTGAATTTGTTCACTACTTCTTCCAGGCATAGAGAACGTCTATGTCAGAAAGCTGGCTTCCACTGTTTTAATGCAATTTCACAGACACTGAGAGGTTCGAGGGAGATGGGGATGCACAGGGAGCTTGAGCAACACGCAGAGGAAGTGGTGACAGCCAAGATTGGCCTCTGGGTATCAACAGTCACCTGGAATGTAAACTTGACAACATTCTGGACATGAACAAAAGAGAGACACTGGCTGAAGGACTCAGCAAGCTTACTGCCTCCTCTCCCTTTCTGGAACAAACAAACAACATTTGATTTGATTTGATGTGTTGGAAAAACCCCAGCAAAACAAGAGAAGAATTCAAGAAAGAGGAAAACATAACATTGTAAGAAACTGAAACTGAGAACTTCAGGTAAAGACACTTTGAGTGACACCTACATCCTAAAACGGGGAACAGTGAAATCCTCTGAGAGCTGATTGGAAACTTCCAAATGTTCAAGAAAAGTTACAATCTGAAATAAAGCAAGCTTTAACTCGGAAATGGACTTGAGAACCCACAAAGCAAAAGGAGCAGCATTTTCTACACCAGCAAGGCCATGCCTCCGTTAGTGGGGTAATTGAGGGCGTGGGCGGCAGGGCAGTGGGATGGTGGATATTCTAATTCTGCAGACAACCATTTTGGATCTTTTCTTTTCTTTTCCTTTTCTCTTCTTTTCTTCTTTTCTTTTCTTTCTCCCCCCCCCCCCTTCTCCCTTCCTTCCTTCCTTCCTTGTGTGTGAGAGAGAAGAGTGAGGGAGAGAGAAAATCTCAAGCCAGCTCCACACTCAGCGGGGAGCCCAAGGTGCAGCTCAATCTCACGACCCTGAGATCATGTCCTGAGCCAGAACCAAGAGTCCAACTGGGCCACCCAGACACCCCAATCTTTTTTTTTTAAGATTTTATTTTTATTTATTTGACAGAGAGAGAGACAGCCAGAGAGGGAACACAAGCAGGGGGAGCAGGAGAGGGAGAAGCAGGCTTCCTGCGGAGCAGGGAGCCCGATGTGGGGCTCGATCCCAGGATCATGACCTGAGCCGAAGGCAGACGCTTAACGACTGAGCCACCCAGGCGCCCCCTCATTACAACTCTTAAGCATAGTGGCCCACCAGCTCTTCATATTTCTCAGATTTTTTTAACCTTTTAGAGCAACCCTAAGAAATCTCAGACTAAATATTTGCCTGAGGCTCAGCAGCTCTTTCAGGTTCATGTTGATTCCTTTTTGTTATAGTCAACACGTCTTATTTCAAAATGTTAGCAGGAGTTATTTCTGGGTGATGAGATTGGAGTGCTTTTCATTTTCATCTTTATGCTTTTCAGTGGTTCCCAGCACTTCTGAAAGGAAATGGTCTTCTTTATTATTCCTTTGTGGGACGCTCTTCAAATGAGAAACAGCAAGAACCATAATTTTAAAAAATTAAAATATCCTGCAAGAATAAATGTCACTTCCCAAAGGACAACTTAGCAAAACAGTAACAACAAAAACCAAACATTCCCTGAAACTCCCTCAGTTAGAATTTTACTCCAGAAGGAGTCATTGTCTTAAAAGGTGTCTGGGTCTCAGGAGGCCTCTGGGAACAATGTGCATAAGGATGCTGGCTCTGGTCAGTGTGTGTGTGTGTGTGTGTTGGGGGTTTGAGTTTCCTGATGTTTGTGGAGGAAGGACAGGTTGGTCAACAGCAGCAAGGAGACCAACCCAACAGACATTGCCGTCAACAAAGGGATGGCACGATGGTGGCTGGCAAGGTGTAGGAGGAATACAAAACAGAAGGAAATGTGATGGCATTATTGATGAAGGAATAAAAAACTGGAAGCAGAAATATTGTAGAGAAGGTAAGTTAAAAGATTTTTATATTGGAAAAAAAAAAGTAAATTCGATTGGTCTGAGCTCATGATCTTTAACAAGACTGTGTTTTTCTGTTCGGACCCTGACTGGAGCCCATCCACAGCAGGGCTTGTGCTACCCCTGCCCCCCCCCCCCCCGACTTACCCAAGGATGATTCTACATCCTGGGGCAAGGCAACTTTAGAAGGGCCTAGGAAGCAAGGATTTCAGACAGTAGTGGTGGAAGGATAAGGAAGCCACTGACCAAACTGTAACAATTTTGATGTTAAAAAGGGAAAAGTAATTATGATGAACTGAAATAAGTTACACAGGGCGCCTGGGTGGCTCAGTCGTTAAGCGTCTGCCTTCGGCTCAGGTCATGATCTCAGGGTCCTGGGATCGAGCCCCGCATCGGGCTCCCTGCTCGGCGGGAAGCCTGCTTCTCCCCTCCTTCTGCCTGCCCGATCCCCCTGCTTGTGTGTGCTCTCTCTCTGTCAAATAAAAAAAAATTTTTTTAAATGTTAAAAAAAAAAATACAATACAATAAGTTAAGCATGTGAAGACCTCAAAACAAAAAAGGTGATATATGACTTATGAAAAGGGTCAATACACCAAGATGTGTTAATTTTTATTTTTTTTATTTATTTTTTTATTTTTTTTTAAGATTTTATTTATTTATTTGAGAGAGAGAGAATGAGAGACAGAGAGCACGAGAGGGAGGAGGGTTAGAGGGAGAAGCAGACCCCCTGCCGAGCAGGGAGCCCGATGCAGGACTCGATCCCGGGACTCCAGGATCATGACCTGAGCCGCAGGTAGTCGCTTAACCAACTGAGCCACCCAGGCGCCCCAAGATATGTTAATTTTTAAAAAAGGTTTTATTTATTGGGCGCCTGGGTGGCTCAGATGGTTAAGCGTCTGCCTTCGGCTCAGGTCATGATCTCAGGGTCCTGGGATCGAGTCCCGCATCGGGCTCCCTGCTCCGCGGGGAGCCTGCTTCTCCCTCTGCCTCTCTCTCTCTCTCTGTCTCTCATGAATAAATAAATAAAATCTTTAAAAAAAAAAGGGTTTATTTATTTATTTGAGATAGAGCGAGAGAGAGAGCACAAACAAGGCTGAGAGGCAGAGTGAGAGGGAGAGAGAAGAAGAATCCCATCTCTCTAGAGAGATGATGGAGCCTCTGGAGCACAGTGTTCATCCTAATGAGATATGATAAGGTCCATTTTTAATAATCATAACAGACCCGGTCAGTACCGCATATTCGAATGACAAGACAGTGGGATTTGGTGAAGCAAGCAAGGTTAGTAGAAAGCACTATTCTGGTGAGCAACACCAACTTCCAAGGGATGGATTTTTAAGATCTTATTGATGTATTTAGTCAAGTTTAAAAACGGAAAACGGAAGCTCAGGTTGGAAAGTGTGACCAGTTTCCATACGCCGGTCCCAAATCAGTCTGTTTACAGTGCAGAAACTGAACCTTGGCTTCTCAGAGATGTTATTATTTTTCCTCTTGGTTCTGAAGATTACTGTAACTCTACAAAGATAGAGGAGTAAAGAAAAATTGCTCTGAACCTAGGAGAGTGTCAAACAACCCTGGAAAGGGAACGCAGGAAAGTAAGACAAGTGTATCTACTGATGGTGCAGATGAAACTTGACATCACGGCATTAATACTTACCTGTATAATAACAAGTTCTGTATCACTGTGGTGTTTTGTATGTATCTTCTCTGCATTCATGATGTCCAAAGCATCATAAAGGTGACAGGGAACTGCGGTGTCACCGGGGCTGAGGCTACGTGGTAAAAGCAAACATCCTCCGTTGAAAGCCCATGGGGCTGAAGTAAGATTCGGTTAACACTATCTCTCTTATCCTAGGACCTGGGAGGGTCAGTCTCTATCTTGCAAAACAGCAACAAGCCTTAGTCATGACTTTCTAGAATGGGTGGCTGAGAGAGTTGGTTCCCCACCTACTGGGGAGTCAACTTCTCTTGGGAAGAGGCCAGCGTTTCCATTCTGCATAAGCCTACCTTGTCCTTTGGGTTTTCAACCTCTTTCTAATTTTCAGTTGGGAGTGCCTGAGAATGTCTTCTCCGTGCATCTATAATTTGTTAGCTGGTTTTCCAACTCTTCAGCAAATAGCTGTATATTGTCCATTATTATTCAACAAAGACATACTGAGGCCTCCTTCTGCCTTCCCTGAGGTCACTCCCAATGGTGATCAAAGCAGGCATGGCGCTGCCTTCTTGGGGCTTTGAGTCTAGTGGGGAAGACAGACGTGACTCAGAGAATCACAAACTGACGCGCTGGAGAGCAGGGTGAAGGGAGAGCTGAGCAGGGGCCCAGCCAGGGCTCTCGATCTGGGCTTGGGGTAGGCGGGCAAGGAGGTGATTTGGACTGGAAAAGGACTTGTGAAGTGGGCACAGAGTTCTGAGAAGAGGTCTGGGCAAAAGCCCAGAGGAGGCCGGGGTGGCACCTGGAGGAGCGAGGCTATCTACATGGAGCGAGGTGAGGGGGCAAGGTAGGTGAGGCCCAGACCAAGCTGGCTCAGATCAAGCCGGCTCATGGAGGTCAGATAATTTTTTTTCGGTAAGTGCTTTATTGAGATATAATTCACATGGTGTATAATTCATCCATTTAAAGTGTACAATTCATTGGTTTTTTAGTATATCCACAGAATGGAATAATCACTATGATCAATTTTATTTTATTTTTATTTAAAAAAAATTTTTTTAAGATTTATTTATTGGGGCACCTGGGTTGTTCAGTGGGTTAAGCATCTGCCTTTGGCTCAGGTCATGATCCTGGAGTCCCGAGATCGAACCCCACATCGGGCTTCCTGCTCAGTGGGGAGCCTGCTTCTCCCTCTCCCTCTGCTCCTCTCCCTGATCATGCTTGCTCTCTTGCTTGCTCTCTCTCTAATAAATAAATTTATTTATTATTTTAGAGAGAGAGAGTGAGAACGCGGGTGAGGGAAGGGGCAGAGGGAGAGGGAGAGAGAGAATCTCAAGTAGGCTCTACATCCAGCACAGAGCCGAACACAAGACTCGATCTCACAACCCTGAGATCATGACCTGAGCCAAAATCAAGAGTCAGGCGCTTAACCATCTGAGCCACCCAGGCGCCCCTAAGAGTCAGGCACTTAACCAACTGAGCCACCCAGGCTCCCCACTAAGATCAATTTTAGAACATTTTTGTTGCCTCTGCATAGAAATCCCATACCCTTTAGTAGTTATCCCCATTCCCCACTATTTGGGTTCTGGACCCAATTCCAGTGTGCGGAGACAGTCGTTTGCCCACACATCCAACAGGCAATTCTCACAACACCCGCTGGGTGTCCTTTAGTTCGATTCTGACACTGTCTACCTGAAGATAGTGTCAGATCCCCCAGAGTGAGGGTTCAGTCCTACAAGATCCGCCCCCCCCCGCCCCTTCAGATGCGCAGGGACATCTGTGCTTCTGACAGACTGACAATAGATCCATATTTCAGGCATTCCAACGACTCCCTCCTTGGGTCGGATTAATCTGCTAGAGTGGCTCACAGAACTCAGAGGAATATTTTACCTACTAAATTGCTAGTTTGTTTATTTATTTATTTATTAGATTTTATTTATTTATTTGACAGAGAGAGACACAGCGACAGAGGGAACACAAGCAGGGGAAGGGGGAGAGGGAGAGGGAGAAGCAGGCTTCCCGCGGAGCAGGGAGCCCGATGCGGGGCTCAATCCCAGGACCCTGGGATCATGACCTGAGACGAAGGCAGACGCTTAACGACTGAGCCACCCAGGCACCCCTAGTTTATTGTTTTATTATAAAAAGATAGAACTCAGGAAGAGCCAGATGGAAGAGAGACACAGGGCACGGTATGGGGCTAAGGCGGGAGATTCCATGCCCTCTCTGGGTGCACCGCTCTCCCCAATCTCCACGTGTTCACCAGCCCAGGGGCTCCCCAACCCCGCCCTTTTGGGGTTTTATGGAGAATTCATCACATGGGCACGATTTATGAAATCACTGGCCATTGGCGACTGATTCAACCTCCAGTCCCTCTCCCCTCCCTGCTCCCCCCAGGTCACAGTGAGAGGATGGCAAGTTCCAACCCATGATAATCACATGGCTGGTTCCCCTGGCAAACTCTCCTTAGGTGCTTTCCAGAAGTCACCTCATTAATATGAACTCAGGTGTCGTTCAAAGGGATTTATGAATATCAAGACACTTTCATCACTCTTATCACTTAGAAATTCCAAGGGTTTTAAGAGCTCTGTGCCAGAAACAGGGGACAAAGACCGTATATATTATTATACCACGCTGGGTTTGTAGGTCTTGCGTTTGAGGCACCCGTGAGAAATCCAGGTAGAGAAGTGGAATGAGTAGTTGAACGCACAGCTCTAGAAAACAGTGGCCATTTGTCTGGATGGGGGATATTGATGTGACAGTCCCTGGGGGTTAGGCAGAGGCCCATGCGGGAAGCAGAGGGCAGACTCCAGCTGGATACTTGGAGGAGAGTCTAAGAAGGATATTGTTAATAAAAGTGTGGGTAGGGTTGATGGAAATCAATTAAAAAGGGTGCAGCATCTGCCGTCACAGCTCAGTGACCCCTCAGGAATAAATACCCTGGCCTTTCTCTCCATCTTGTCCCTTGTTTGTAGCTCTCCCTGCAAAACCCAAATGCAAGCCCAGGGAAAAGAGCCTGATAAATTCCACCCAGCCCAGAGCAGGAGGCAAAAGGGCCAAACAGAATATACACAGCGCGGACGGTAGTTTTAACCTTGGATGGGACGTGAGGGAAGCGAGACTTGAGCCAGAGCCTGAGTCCTTGAGACATTGAAAGCCAGGGTGAAGGAGGATGAGCAGGCTGGCAGAGGAGATGGGACGAGTGGCTAGAGGGAGTAGAAATACCAAGAATATCCTGGAAGCCAAGTTAAGTAAGGCCAAGACTCCACTGTCAGTGTTTATGGAAATAAGAGGCATACTTTTCTTGCTGTTACCTGTTTTATCTGCTAGCAGCCAGAAGCAGGGGAAATGGAACTGCCTTTTGGGTTTCGTCCTCGACCACAACCAACCCCATCTAAGGCAAGCATCCCCGCTATCTCACAAGTGCTGGTGTTCTTGCTGGTCCCACAGATGAGCCTCCCCTTGGGGAACCCCCCGCAGTATTACCTGGTGCCTGTGAGCATGAGTTCTGGACAGAGGCAGATTACCTGCCTCGGAATTCTGGCTAGTTGTGCAACCTTGGGCAAATTACTTAACTTCTCCATTTACCCATCTGGAAAATGGGAATGGTGATAGTTGTGAGGATTAACTCAGGTGTCCCAGGTGAAGGACCTGGGACATGTTAATTGCTTAAAAGTGCTAGCTACTTTTTTTTTTTTTTTTAATCAGAGAGAGAGAGAAAGAGAGAGCACAAGCAGGGGGAGTGGCAGGCAGAGGGAGAAGCAGAGTCCCTGCTGAGCAATGCAAGACTCGATCCCAGGACCCTAGGATAATGACCTGTCATTATGCTTAACTGGCTGAGCCACCCAGGCATCCCTAAAGTGCTAGCTATTTTAATTCCAACAATGCCCAAGATATAGTAGGTGCTCAATAAATACTAGTTAAATGAATAAATTATTTTAGTTGAAAAATCATTAAATTGAAAGAGGGACCCTGTTTACCTAAGTTGTAATTATAAGAGATTTTATGAAGAAATAATTAAAAACCTTTAGGATTTTAAAATTTCCATTACAGTAATAAGATAATGATATTAATTTTAAACTAATCTGAGTGTTATGGTAATTAAATAAGCAACTTGTTGGCTTTCAGAGAAGGAAGGAAGTGCATAGATTGGTACCAAGACACTCAAAGCACTGACAGGAAACTGAGGTTCAGTGGTGTCAAGGAGTCAAAAGTGTTCTGGAAAGTTCCCCAGCAGAAATGGGGTACAGCTGGGCAGGTGGACAAGGACTAACCAGGGCAAGTGAGTTTCAAGGAGCAAGGAAAGGCCATTTAACCTGCAGTTCCTGGTAATGAAACAAAATATTTAGTTTATTGTTAATTATTTGTTTTCTTTTTTTATTTCTTTAGAGAGAGCGAGCAAGTGCACGAGCAGGAGGGACAGAGGCAGAGGGAGAGAGAGAATCCCAAGCAGGCCCCATGCTCAGTGTGAAGCCTGATGTGGGGCTCAGTCCCTCGACCCTGAGATCATGACCTGAGCCAAAATCAAGAGTTGAATGCTCAACTGACTGTGCCACCCAGGTGCTCCTAGTTATTTGTTTTTCTTAAACTGAGGTCCTTTGGGATTAAAAAAATAACACATGTTACTGTTATGTAAGAGAATGTCCGTGTTCATAGGAAACACATCAAGCATATAGCAGTAAAGGAGTCATGATTGCAAATTATCCTTAAATGACTGATTTAAAATAAGAATATGTACATATATATAGTGAGAGACATAAGGCAAATATCGCAAAATGTGAATAGTTGATGATTCAGATGTTCATTGCACTTCCTTTTTTATTTGAAATTTTTTTCAAAATACAGAGTAAGGAAAAAGGTAACACATGCTTAGAACAATTAAGAAGGGGACACCTGGGTGGCTTATTCGGTTAAGCATCTGCCTTCGGCTCAGGTCATGATCCCAGGGTCCTGGGATCGAGCCCCGCATCGGGCTCCCTGCTCCACGGGAAGCCTGCTTCTCCCTCTGCCTGCCGCTCCCCCTGCTTGTGCTCGCTCTCTCTGACAAATAAATAAATAAATAATTTTTTTTAAAAAAAGAACTATTTAGAAGTGTTTGAGAGAGCCCAAAATTGGATATTCTAGTACGTCATCGAACCATCCCTGAGCCCCTTTTCTCTTGCTGCACCCGAGGCGGTACGGTGCAGTGGTCAGAGCACAAGGCATGGTGGTCAGTTGTCTGGGTTTGAGTCTGGCTCTGACATTTACTAGCTCTGTGACTTCGGGGAAGCTTCTCAGCTTTCCGATTCTGTTTTCTCACCTGCAAAGTGGGCACAATTATGGAAGTTGAGGGGATGAAATGGCTGATGTGGGTAAAGCCCTTCGAAAAGTGACAGGCACATAGTACTTGGTGCATGTTCCAGGTCACCATCATCATCACTATTATTAGCCTGAGGAACCAGATGGCAAGGATGACTCAGTGGGTTATTTTTGTTTGGTTTGGTTTTGATTCTTAAACTGAGGATACCAAGGTCCTCAGGCATCACAGTTCTTAGAAGTCACTTTCAGGAGGTAAATAATCTGAATCAGAACCAGCTTATTTCTCTCTGTGTTGCTGCCATCACCAAAGAGGCAGCAATGAAAACAGAGCACGTCCCTTCTTTTTCTTTTCTTTTCTTTTTTGAGAAAGAGTGAGAGAGCGAGCATGAGTTGGGGGCAGAAGAGGGAGAGAACCTAAGCAGCCTCCACAACTGAGCACGGAGCCCAGTGCAGGGCTCGATCTCACGACCCTGAGATCATGACCTGAGCCAAAATCAAGAGTCAGATGCTTAACCAACTGAGTCACACAGGCTCCCCTTCTTTTTATTTTCTACCTCCCTGCCCGCCCTGCTTACCAAGTGCCAGCTTTAAATTCTCCCTGGAACTACTCAGCCGCAGCTATGAGCTGGCGATACTTCACAGAAGGTTGGGTGTTGTTTTCTGTTCTGCCTGGAACACAGATATTTTGCCCAGCCCCGGTGGTGGACATTTTACCAAGTTAGCCTAAGAGAGCTCGTCTCTGCTACAAGAGTGCTACTGTCTTCACTTTTGTTTTGTTTTGAAATTTTGTAACTCACTCCCTCACTGAAGACTATGAGAAGTTAAATGCAAGTTACTCTTATTGTATATCGTGGGAAACCCGGTTAAACATTTCAAGTGCTCAAATATACCACAGTCTGTCTCAAGAATATTCTGGCAATGGGTAACAGAGCTATGAAACCTTGCAAACCTTTGACCCAGTAATACCAGTCTTGGGAATATACCCCAAGGAAATAACCCAAAAGGGAAAAAATGTAATTTGTGCAAAGATATTCATGTGTTGCTATTTATAATCCAAATAATCCAAAAGCCAAATAAGGAAATGACTCGGCAAACTATGGTATAGTGACATAAGGAAACACCAGTGACCAATTTTAAAAACAGGAATGCAGCCTTTGCTGGCTCTAGGGAATGTGTGGATTTAAGTATTTTAAGTGACAAGGAACACCACATGGAAAGTTTACAACTCTGTAAAATGCTCTGTTGCACAAAAAAGTCTGGAAGTGAGTTTTAAGGAAGGAAAAATGTAGTTTAGAGCTGAGTCTGATAACTCTTCTGTAAGGTTGCATGTGAATTACAATATCTGTTGCAGGACATTCTGGGGTCTGACCGTTTTGAGTCTGAAACAGTTATTTAAGTATGTAAAGGAGACAGTTATAATATAAATCAAGCAACTTTGTTTTGCAGCAGGAAGTCTTCATAGGTATGTGCCAAGGCATGGGAAAATGTGAACTCTGGCATCCGAACTCTTTGCTCTACAATCTAGAGATGCCTGGGAAGGACTGGAGGGCTGCTGGTATGAAAGAGATGTGTTGGGTATGAAAACCTGTTTGGAATCCGTCTGTTGTCCCCTGGCAGATCAGTCCTCAGACCTTGCTGAGGGCTCACCAATAAGCAGCCGAGTGGCAGGGGCTTATTTTTTTCATGGGGAGAGAGGAGGAAATTAGATTTCAGAAGCCAGAATAAATTGGAGCTGCCAAAGGAACACCTACAAAAAGTAACACCAATTCTTCAGTTACAGAGTCAGGTCTATAGCAGACTGGCACTTCTTTTTTTAAAAACTGGGAAGAATTCAGAATAGGAAATGGGACATTCATATCAAGAGGCTAAGAGGAGGGGTGCGTGGGTGGCTCATTCGGTGAAGCCTCGGATTTCCGTTCAGGTCCTGATCTCAGGGTCCTGGGATCAAGCCCTTCGACAGGCTCTGCACTCAGTGCAGTCTGCTTGTCCCTCCTGCCTCTCTCCCTGCTCTCTCTCTCTCTCAAATAAATAAATAAAACCTAAAAAAAAAAAAAAAAAGAAGCTAAGAGGACATTAAATCAAGGAGCAGGAAGGAGATGGATAAATATTTGTGGCAAGTTCAGGGTGGTTTTATTTTTTTTTTAATAATTTATCTTGGGTAGGAGTTAATATTTAACAACTAGAAAGCAAGGAAACGTGTTCACTGGAATGGACTATTATTAGTTAAAGTTTACATATCATTTAAAATCAATTTTTCTAGTGGAGTCCCCTTTTTTTTTTTTTAAGATTTTATTTATTTTAGAGAGAGAGGTGCTGGGGGAGGGGCAGAGGGGGAGGGAATGGGACAAGCAGACTTTGTGTCCAGTGCAGAGCCCGACTCAGGCTCCATCCCAGAGCTCTGATATCATGACCTGAGCTGAAACCAAGAGTCAGATAGATGCTTAACCAACTGAGCCATCCAGGCACTCCTACTAGTGGATTCTTAACATCATCATCAGAAGGCTATTTGTCCTGGGATTGATATTTTTCCTTTCTCAACCTTAATTTGGGCAGGAGACACAATCCAATTAGAATTTTTTTTCATTGGCAATTAACAAAAAATAAAAGAGGAGTTTGTACCGATAGTAATGGACACTGAGTTTTGTAGCAATGAGATATCAAAGATACTTCTGCTTTCTTTAAATAAATCAAGCCCAAGCTCGGAGGAATTAAGCCCAGTGTTATGCAGTGTGTTTTAACTACGTTCTTTGTCCAGCTAAGAATGTGTTTTGTTTCACTCATTCTTCTCCCTGGTGATTTAACAACAATGTTAAATACATCCAGAGCCTTTCCAGGGAGGCGCAATTTGTCTACCAAACTCATACTTGGTGGCTCCTGGTCAGGCCCCGCTCGCCTCCCTCACCCTAACTCTTTAGCTGAAACTCTCAACCCGTCTATACCTTTATCTTGTATTTAATGATGGCCACATTTGTGGATACCCACAACTGGTTCAGCTTCAGGGTCTCTATGAAAAGCCTGAAGGCAAGATTGATTTTACTTACAGGCACCCAGACGCAAGGACTCCAGTTACTTTAACAAGTCGACTTTGTTGGAGGGAAAGATGTTAGATTTTAGCACCATAAATCTCCCACTTGAGACAGGACTGGAGGAGGGGCTGCTGGGCAGACTAGAAGGACCCATTTGCAAAGCAGTGCTCTGGTGCCGGGTTGAAAAACATTCACTGGAGAAAATTCTTTCAGGCAAACTGATTGACTCTCCTTTCTCTGGGGTTTGTTAAAGGGGATTCTCAGTCCTGGCACTATGAACATTTGGGGGAGGATAATTCTTTGTTGGGGGAGGCGTGCTGTGCCTTGTAGGATGATTAGCCACCTGCCTGGGCTCTACCTACTAGACACCACTAGCAACATCTCCAGTTATGACAACCAAAAAATGTCTCTAGACGTGGCCAAGTGTCATCTGGGAGGCAAAATCACTCCCGGTTGAGAACCATTGGTTTATTAGATATTTTGTGTGGAAATAATGGTATTGGGGTAATAGCATGAGATTATCCTCTCTTGATGAAGACAATGAAACACTCCAACTTCATCTTCTCTGCCCCTGCTTCCCAGGAGGCTCAGCCCCAAATAAAAATTGAGGGCGACTCTTCCCCTCATTGAACTCTTCTCCAGCACTTTCCTATCCTTCATCAAATTATTTCCCCGATTCTTTTTCCTCAGGGTTGGAGTCTTACAGGCATCCTGTAACTAATTGGAAATCAGATGAAAGAGTCCAAAGTGGGCAGAATCCTCTCCAGGTCTTTTCTCTTTCTTAACATAGGTTGAGTTCAGCCATCCCCTAATTTGAGGAATTAACTCACCAGTCTGACAGTTACTGTGTGGGGGGTCATTTGCCCCATGGAAGTTCGTAGAAGCATACCCTGTAGAAAAGGAGAGAGGGCATAGTTCTGGAGATAACAGTTTGGTGGCCACCGTGCCTCGTGAGCCTGCTGGCAATGCTTGGAGAACCAGATCAAAGAAGGGCTGTTTGCATCAGCTTTTTTCTGAAGCAACTCTGATACGTGTCAGGAGCGAGGGAGCCTTACCCAAAGCTCCCGAAACAAAGGAACCCTTTGGAGGTCTGGTGCAGGGTGTCCTCGGTGGTTTCACTGCAGTTTGTAGGGAGAGATGCTGCCGCTGTCATTCCCTTGCAGTCATTGTATGGGAGGGGTGGGGAGGGGGTGGGAAAGGGACCCATAAGGAGGGCCCTGGTCGTCTAAAGACATAACCAAAATAAAGAAAATTGATTTATGCCACCGGGGCTATCAAATCAATTCCGCTAAATTACCTCTCTCAAAAGGCTCATTTGAGGGGGTGCCTGGGTGGCTCAGTTGTTGAACGTCTGCCTTCGGCTCAGGTCATGGTTCCAGGGTCCTGGGATCGAGACCCACATCAGGCTCCCTGCTCCGCGGGAAGCCTGCTTCTCCCTCTCCCACTCCCCCTGCTTGTGTTCCCTCTCTCGCTGTCTCTCTCTCTGTCAAATAAATACATAAAATCTTAAAAAAAAAAAAGGCTCATTTGTGTTCTTCAGGTGGGAGGATCAAGCACGGGTCAGGGGTGGCCTTGCCGACAGGCTGAGGTCACCCTGTTGAAGGAGGAGGTTAGTGGGGAAGACGGAGGAGAAAAGATGGGATTCTGGCGGCATGCCCTGGCCAAGGAGTGCAAACAGTTCACTGTGGAGGAGAAGGAACTTGGTTTTCTTCCTTTTGCCTCTGGGTAGAAAGTAACGAACGCAGCTGACACAGCACTAGAATTCCCAGTTCTGCGCTGGAGCGGAATGAGAGGAGTCCCAGCAGCTTTCAGACTTGGAGTTGAATTAGCTGATCTGAAGGAAGTGACTGTGAACTGTGAAAAGCAGAAAATGAGAGCGAGAAGAAAGAAAAGTATTGAAAATGTGCTTCCTGGAAAACCACCCTTCTGCTTAAAAAACAACAGCAACAACTCCCCACCCCCCCAAAAAACCCACAAGAAACCTAAAACTCCATAAAAACACCAAATTGCTTCTTGTTTTAGTTACACTTCTGCCCTGGAAAGATTTTTGAGAGCAAAGGCGGAGAGGAGCACATAACATAATTAAGAACAGGCCACCTTGAGGGGCGCCAAGGGGGCTCAGTTGTTAAGTGTCTGCCTTTGGCTCAGGTCATGATCTTGGGGTCCTGGGATCGAGATTAGCATGGTGGGGGGGGGGTCCCTGCTCAGCAGGGAGTCTGCTTCTCCCTCTTTCTCTGTCCCGCCCCCCTGCTTGTACTTTTTCTCTCAAATAAATAAATAAAAAATCTTTAAGGGGAGGCGCCTGGGTGGCTCAGTCATTAAGCGTCTGCCTTCAGCTCAGGTCATGATCTCAGGGTCCTGGGATCGAACCCCACATCGGGCTCCCTGCTCGGCGGGAAGCCTGCTTCTCCCTCTCCCACTCTCCCTGCTTGTGTTCCCTCTCTCGCTGTGCCTCTCTCTGTCAAATAAAAAAAATCTTAAAAAAAAAAATCTTTAAGGGGCGCCTGGGGATCTTAGTTGGTTAATTCCAGGGTCCTGGGATTGAACATGGGGCTCCCTGCTTGGCGGAGAGTCTGCTTCTCCTTCTCCCTCTGCCCCAACCCCTGCTCATTCTCTTTCTTTCTCTTGCTCTCTACACTCTCTCTCAAATAAATAAATAAAATCTTTTAAAAATATCTTTTAAAAGAACCCTTGAGCATGGTTATTGTAGCTGCGGCTCTCATGGGGTTAACAAGCCTGGTTCTGGTTCAAATACGCTCTGCGTTCACTTCTGTTTCAACAGCTGCATGTTGACACGCAGGAGACAGGCAAAGGGGAGACTGCTCTCTGCTAAGAATCAGGAGACCCGAGGACAGGTTACGTATATAGCTTAGACGAGTTGTTTTCCCTCCCTAGGCCTTACTTTCTGTATCTATGAAATAATTTTTTTTTAAGATTTATTTATTTATTTATTTGACAGAGAGAGACACAGCGAGAGAGGGAACACAAGTAGGGGGAGTGGGAGAGGGAGAAGCAGGCTTCCCGCGGAGCAGGGAGCCCGATGCGGGACTCGATTCCAGGACCCTGGGACCACGACCTGACTCGAAGGCAGACGCTTAACGGCTGAGCCACCCAGGCGCTCCTGAAATAATTTTTTTTTTTCTGAAATAAATTTTTGAATAGGATTAAGAGTGAGCATCTTTTTCTTTTTTTAAAAAATAAGGGCCAATTCAGGAAAATTAAAATTTTTATAGACTTTTTTCTTTTCTTTTTTCTTTTAAAGATTTTATTTATTTATTTGAGAGAGAGAATGAAAGAGAGAGAGCACAAGAAGGGGGAGGGTCAGAGGGAGAAGCAGACTCCCCGCTGAGCAGGGAGCCCGATGCGGGACTCCATCCCGGGACTCCAGGATCATGACTTGAGCCGAAGGCAGTTGCTTTACCAACTGAGCCACCCAGGCGCCCTAGACTTTTTTCTTTTTTATGAAGAAGCAGCAACCCAGAGACAGCTTTTTATTTTTATTTATTTTATTATTATTTTTTTATTGCAGTGCAGCTGAGACACAATGGTACGTGAATTTCAGGTGTGCAACATAGTGATTCAGTATCTATACATTATGCTGTGCTCACTGCAAATGTAGCCAGCATCTGTCTCCGTACAACACTATTACAATACCATCCACTGTATTCCCTGTGTTGTACCTTTCATCCCAGTGACTTACTGAGTCCATAACTGGAAGCCTGCTCCTCTTACTCCCCTTCACCCATTTTACCCATCCCTCCACCCCCCACCCCTCTGCCAACCACCAGTTTGTTCTCTGTATTTATGGGTTTCTGCTTTTTTTGTTTGTTCCCGAGGCAGCTTTTTAATCTTTCACCCTGAAGTTAGATTTTGGGTTTTGGGTCGCCCATCACTGGACTAGACAATTGCTAGTTTCTTTTCCAGATTAATTAAGTTCTTGGTTCTCTAATGGCAGTGACTTTTGCTGGCTGTTTCTTCATACCATTTCTAGCCAATTCTTTCCTTAACAACATCATCTGAAGGCTATTTGGCCAGCGTGTTTTCTGTTCTCAAGAGGCTCTTGAAAAACCCTTGGATACAAATGATATTGTCCTATTTTATTTACACATACCAGCCTTAAAGGCATCTGTCCTAGTTTGGCAGTTACTATGGAATGAAATCAATAAATATTAATAATTCAGCAGCTAAAGGAATGGTGTTCAGAAAACAGGTTAGCAAATTTTGAGGGGTTACAACCAGTCAATTGATTAGGGCTGGAACTTCAAATATCCAGACATGTCTTCAATGAAATGCTCTTGGAATGCACGTTGGAACAATGGAATAAAGCCATTGCTTTATTAAAACAGCAGGAGCTCACTGACATTTCATCATGTGAAATCTGAACCCCTCATCAATCCTGCTGTGAAACTCTTCCAAAGTAAAGAAGTAGACAAAGCTATCAGACAGGGTATGCTTCTAGGAAATCAAAAGAGATGGCAGAACAAAAAACACTGTAAAACTTTTCCTTGCTAAACCTTTGGGAAAACAGTCTGGCACTTCCTTGAAGGGTTAAACACAGCATTACCATATGATCCAGCAATTCCACTCCTATATACATACCAAAGAGAAATGAAATCATGCATCCACACAAAAATTTGTACACAAGTGTTCATAGCAGTATTATTCATAATAGCCAAAATGTGGAAGCAACCCAAATACCATAAACAAAATTTAGTATATCCATAGAGTAGAATATTATTTGGCCAAAAAAAGAAATGTAGTACTAATACATGTTATTACGACATTGATGAACCTTGAAAACATCATGCTAAGGGAAAGAAGCAGACACAAAGGGTCACATATTGCATGATTACATTGGTATGAAATGTCTACAACAGCCAAATCTATGAAACAGGAAGTAGCTCAGTGGTGGCCTAGGGCAAGGGGGGAGCTGGGGATAAAAATGGAATTGACTTCTTTATTTTTTATTTTTTAAAGATTTTATTTATTTATTTGACAGAGAGAGAGAGAGAGAGAGGGACCATAAGCAGGTGGAGTGGCAGGCAGAGGGAGAGGGAGAAGCAGGCTCCCCGCTGAGCAGGGAGCCCAATGCGGGACTCCATCCCAGGACTCTGGGATCATGACCTGAGCCGAAGGCAGACGCTTAACCAACTGAGCCACCCAGGCGTCCCAAAGCTGTACTTTCTTAATGGATCTATTTTCCTAGGGCAATAATACAAATGTATAATGTGTGTGTGTGTATCATCCCCAAGTGTACTTCCTCAAAACTGATAGACTGCTAGAACAATCTATCAAATTATGCGGTGACACGACATGGATCTTGGTTTATTTTATTTTACCTTTTTTTAAAGATTATTTATTTATTTATTTATTAGAGAGTGAGCAGGAGAGAAACAGCATAAGAGGGGAGAGAGTCAGAGGGAGAAGCAGGCTCCCCGCTGAGCCGGGAGCCCGATGTGGGACTCGATCCCAGGACCCTGGGATCGTGACCTGAGCTGAAGGCAGTCGCTTAACCAACTGAGCCACCCAGGCGCCCTGGATCTTGGTTTAAAACTGTCATCTGTCACTTATGTTTACCTTCATCCTGAGGACTCACCAGTCATTTCTAAAGCAAGCACACCTCTGTAACTTGGGCAGCGGGTCAGTGATCAGAATATGCTAACACATTGGCTACCGTCTATTAGGAGTTGATCGTGGGCTGATGCTCTTTCTGCTCAGCCTTTCCCATCACAAATCCTAAGCCTTTAGCACTGTTTCTCGAGGAGACAGGTGGCCATCCTAAGGAAAGGTAGCAATCTTGTCTTTGTGGATTCTCTGACCTAAGCAATTTTCACAGTCTCTTCATTTTCTACACCTGTACATCGATGTGTACCAAAAGTTCCTTGTGGTAATTCTGTCTTCTCATTTTATCTCCGTTGTAGAAATAGTCCGTTACTTCCTGTCTGACCTAGATAGTCTGAGCATGACTCTTAAACTCTTTTTTTGAAAGAAAGAAAAGAAAGAGCTAAAGTTAAACCAATATGGTTAGTTCTAAGAGTTATGTTGTAAAATTGCTTTTGAAATATGGTATCTTCATACTTGGAAACTAAGACTAGCTCACTGGGAAGATCACTCAAAGTTTTATAATTCCCTCGACCGCAAGAAAACAAATTCTCTCTGGGCTGAATTCAAAGTTGTATCTGGCATCTGAAGGAAGGTTTGAAACAGTCGCTGGTCTTTTTTTTTTTTTCTTTCAATGATGTATTAATTTGAAGTAGGCTCCACACGCAGTGTGGGGCTTGAACTCAGGACAGTGAGATCAAGAGTCGCAGGCTCCATCGACTGAGCCAGCCAGAAAGAGCCACCAGTCTACTGGCATCCATCCCTGTGACAGGGCTACAGGGTGAAGTATGGACTCTGGAATCAGGCTGCTTGGTTCTTAAACTGGCTTCACCATTCTGGGCAAGATGCCTATAAGAACCTATAAGAACCCTCTACCTACAAGAACCTTTGTTCTTATTCATATGTAATGTGCGGATAAATTATAGCCCCCAACTCACAGAGATGTTGGGAGTATTAAGTGAATTAATTGTATGAATAAATAAAATGCATAGAACAGAGCCTGGCAGAGAAGCAGTACTCAGTAAATTTTATCTATCATGTGTCCCTATCAACCTCACCAACTGCCAGGGGCTGGGGCACTATTCACTTTCTGCAAGAATCCTCTTGCAAGGAACCTGGACCTGGTCCCTGAGAACAAATAAATCATCAAGGATGAGGTCAGGCCTGAGCAATGGGGCTTGGTTTAGACAGAGCAAGACCATTTCCCTTCTTCCTTGGGAAGACCAGTAGCGTCTCTGAGGAGTCTCATGCCCCCTGAAGAAACCAAATCCAGTAAGAGGACTCAACTTTCCTGAAGATACACATGCAAAGTTCTGAAGTGAGTGAGCAGATATCATCCTCAGTAGATCCAGGGTTATGCCTTTGGAGGGGGTGCCCTGCACCCAGGATGAAATGGATCATTTGGAAAGAAAACTTCGATAACTCCCTTCAGCATTCCTTGCTGCTATGACTTGCTCTGTTTAGACTTTCTTTAACCATAACCCCAAACCTTGCTGATGCCGGCTTCCTGGATTCCAGAGTCTACGCAGTCTTTTTCCGCTGCTATGACTTACATCCCCTGATTGCTTAGTTTGGTAATGACCCTGTGTATTTGCCTTTAAGTTGCAGCTTGATCCCTTAGAGCAACTCATGCTGACCTGTGGTCTGGTAACTAATATTCAATCTTGGCCAATGATATCGTGTCTGTGTTGATACCCTCAAGGCTATCTGTGCCCCATGGACACTGTAGGTCCCCTGGCTCCATTGGCAATCCTGGCCAGCCCAAGACTTTCTTTCTCCAAAGGGAAAATATAGGTACACAGAGACTAAATGATTTGTTTAGGGAAAAAGAAAAGAGCTTGAAATTTAGCTGAGCCAGAATTAGAACCTTCAGATCAGATTGCATCTAAAATACAGTAATCAGCAAGACTTCATTCTTAAATAAAATGTTGTTTTAATAAAATACTGCACATATATATTTTTCTTTTCAAAGATGTTATGACCAGGATGGCTGGTGTGAATGGTAATATATGGTGAACTATATAATTAGTAGCAAAAACAAGGACTCTCAAATAAATAGGCTTAAGCATTTTTTTTAAGACATTCTGCAAATCAGCTGAAACTTAAGAACAGGCAAGGGAGAGCTGGCTTTTCCTCCAAGCATGTGCTCTTGGTTGGCTTGGGATAGAGAAAGGAGTCATATTTACCCTCTAGGAATCAAAAGTAACATTGGAGTGACCTTCTGGAGAGAGGAATCCTTGCCGTCTCCTTGACTTTTTGCCCAAGATTTCAGAGTTTAACTAAACCATACAAAAGCACTACCCCCAGAGCTGCATTTAGGCATCTCTGTATTTGGCAGGATGTGGAGCCAGTGGAAAATTCTAGGGAAGGCCGAGCTGGGCTAACAAGGAGGAAGATCTAGTGTGATAGAGGAGAAGTTGACTATATCTGCATGCTCTGACCCAGTACAAATCTAGGTCACTGTGGCCATTAGGAAATCCTAGTAAATGCAAAGACCATGGATATATAATAGAAAATATAAGAAGCAGAATTACCCCACTAACTACCTATTAATTATACTTTAAGTTGGTCCCTCACTATTGAGAGTCGCTTACCTAAAGATTCAAATATAATCAAAGCCATTTAGATATGGTGTAACATAATTTGCATGATGTGCAGGATATGAAAAAGTCTTCCTTAATCCATCACCCTTCTTTCTCTATCAAATCCACTGCTCCTTTCCCTTTTCTGTGTAAGGATGGGGACAGGTAGAAAATTCTCAGTTGAGATCCCCAGCCTGGGATTGTGAGCTGGCCCTACCTGGAAGTCTTGTCTTTGTATATCTCAAAGAAGAACAAGTAAGTCTTCAGGGAAAAATCCAGAAGGACCCAACTTCTAACAGATAAGGCTTTCTCAACTAGCCTTATTAGTTTTTCAAAAAAAAACCCCACCCAATACAATTAGAATTGCAAAGGAGGAAGGGGTCAGCTGAGCTGACTCTAGCACCTGGGCCTCAAAATGGGCTAGCAGAAGACCCTAGCCACCCTCAATGGTTGGCACGGTCATTGACTTTGAATACTGAAGGCTCCACATCCCTTACAAAGACTTCTTATCCTGCTGGCCCAGGACCCGGGCAAGGCAGTAAGGGATGAGGCTGACAGATGCCAGGGGCACGGCTGCACTCTTGCAGAAGGACAGGAAATAGAAGATCAGCTCAACTTGGGATGGGGGTTTCAAAGAGTCAAAGAGGTGCAGGAGGATGAGAGAGACCACAATGCAGCTGAGGCGGAATGGGAACCACTTGTTGAGCTTGCCCTTGCAACTCTCCCTGTACATGCTGGAGTTGAGAGCCAAGCCCAGGCCAAAGAGGGTCCCCAAGTTCTTGAGGAGGCTGGCAAAGGGCGTGGTGTCAATGTGGACCCATTCCGGCCGCTCACACCATCTCTTGGCTTTTTCTAGTGTCCACAGGAGGTCTACACCCAGTCCCTTGAGCAGCAGGTAAAATCCAATGGCAAAGCCAAACAAGAAGAAGGTAATGAGAAAATACTTCTTGAGGCTGGCATTGTAGATGCTCTGGATGTGACGGAAAGTTTCAGCAACAGCAATGCCTGTGTGGAAGAAAGAATGACTGTGAGAAATAGGGAAGACTCTGGACCTTCAGCTATGGGGCGGGGTTTGGAGCCATTAGTGACATATCATCCATCCTGCCATCTGTGGTAATACATCCCAGATGCTAGATTAGAGCATCACCGGGTTTATTCCCATGAGTGACTCCAGTCTGTCCTCAGCCATAGACTCTTTCAGATGGAAGAGTCCTATCACATACATTCTCCCACTGCACGCATGTTTCCTGTCAGGGGTCCTCATGTTTCTACTTGAATACCCACAGGGGTAGAGAGCTCACTCCCACTTGGGCAGCCCATTTCATCTTTGAATGGCTTTGATTATCAAAAATTCTTCCTTGTGCTAATCTGAAATGTGACCCCCCCCCAATGCCATCTATTGGTCTCAGTTATTTCTGTAGGAGTTGAGTTATAAATCTAGAAGCTCTTTATAGAGCACATTTGAAGACAGTTACTCTTATCTCTAACCTATACCTTCTCAGGTCTTTCATGTAACATGGCTTCTGGGCTCTTCCTCAAACATGGCACCCAGTACTAAACGCTGCGTTCCTTTTGTGGTTGTCATGAAACCATTATCTCCCCTGTACTCAATGCTCTTCTTGTAATGCTACTGTGTTCTGCTCCCACCTGTCTTCTACAATTTCCCTAAGGAAATTTCCAGTACCTCTCATAATGTAAAGAAAGTCTTTCTTACACTTAACCTAAGTCTTTTCTGCCCCTTATAAATGGGATCTAAGAAAACACAAGTATAGTTGACCCTTGAACAACATGGGTTTGAACTAGGTGAGTCCACTTATATGCAGATTTTTTTTGATAAATATAGCAGAGACCTGTAAATGTATTTTCTCTTCCTGCTGATTTTCTCTCTTTTTTTTTTTTTAAGATTTTATTTATTTATTTGAAAGAGAGAGAGAGTGTGAGGTAGCATGAGCAGGAGGGAGGGGCAAAGGGAGAAGCAGATTCCCCGTTGAGTAGGGAACCCCACATGGGGCTTGATCCCAGGACTCCGAGATCATGACTGAGCCGAAGGCAGACTCTTAACCCACTGAGCCACCCAGGTGCCTCTGATCCTGCTGATATTCTGAAGAACATTTTCTTTTCTCTCGCTTGCTTTATTGTAAGAATGCAGGATATAATACATATAACATGCAAAATATGTGTTAATCGACTGTTTGTTATCGGTAAGGTTTCCAGTAGGCTATTAGTAATTAAGTTTTGGGAGAGTCAAAGTTATATGTGGATTTTCGAGTGCACGGAGCGGGGCCGGGCGTCAATGCTCCTAACCCTTGCATTGTTCAAGTAGCAACTGTATTCAAAACTCTGAACCTATAAGAAAGACCAACTGTGGGTTTGAAAATTAATTTACCCAAATAAAGAGCTTTTCTAGGACACTGTTAATTTGTTAAATTTGGTAGATTCCCTTAAAACTAAACTAAGGGCCAGGGCTCCTGGGTGGCTCAGTCAGTTAAGCATCCGACTCAATTTCAGCTCAGGTCATGATCTCAGGGTCCTGGGATTGAGCCCCACCTCTGGCTTCACGCTCAGTGTGGAGTCTGTTTGAGGTTCTTTCTCCCTCTCCCTCTGCCCCTCCCCAACTCTCTCTATAAATAAATAAATAAATAAATAAATAGTAAAAACAACAACTAATGAGGGGCCATTTCCAATGGCCAGTAAAAAATAAAGAATAAGAAAAGTAAGGAAATTTCAAGCTAATTCAATTGGTAAGTTAACTTGAAGTATTGCAACTTTTCTGAAACATATTTAATTGTGTAGATCTGGGCCCTCCTATAGAAATGAACGGTTTCACCCACCCTTAACTCATAGCCCACTGAAGTGCTAACAGCATTGATTACACACAGAATATGACTGGCTGGCTGGGATGGTGTCCCAGTTAGGGAGACATGGCATAGGAGGGGCAGGAAGGGAGAGAGCCAGAGCAGCTGATACCTGATAGGACTCCGGCAATGACCTGATGGGGAAAATGAGCAGCAAGGTAGATTCGGGACAGACAGACGTTCAGCTGCACGGCCCAGAATCCCAACCACAAAATGATGTTCAAACACCTGCAACAGAAGAGGCCATCATAACAGAACCCAGATATGCACACTTTAGCAAGGAGAACAGCCTGGCAAGGACACCGGGGCCTGGCCAACTTAGGTGCAGTCAGTGGAATTTTTGTAAATTGAAGCCTGTAACCCACACAGCTCAGAGATGCCTGTGTAACGTACTTAACCCTTCCACACGTGAACGTTAAGTTCCCGCATTTTATATGTGTGATAATTCAGCATTTGCCCAGGGGCCGCATGCTCAGAATTCTCTGTAGTAGGAATGTCATACGTTTCTTTGTTTTTCAACTTGGACCAGGCAACTCTTTGGTTGGCACAGAAATGGGTTTTTATTTAAACCCTGCCAGAACTACACTGTGTGATCTTGAGCAGTCCCTTTACCCTGTTAGGCCTTGTTTCCTTATCTATAAAGTTAGGGGTTGCTCTTGTAGGTCCCTTCAAGCCCTAACATCTTGTGCCCTTCACGTTTGCCCTCAGCAGAAATGCCACAACTCTGCTCAGTACCAACCCAAGGGGGGGTGGGCCAGCTGTGGGGAATGTGAGGAAGAGCAAGTGGTGTGTCTGTTACAGAGACAGTCACCTCCTGCCCGCACCCCAGTCACTGCCTGCACCCCAGTGCTGAGTTCTTACCGAAATCTGTAGGTTGGCTTTCTCTTTCCCCGAAAGATAGCGAGGGTGGATGTGACCATCACGTAGTATACACCCGCTGTGCCCATGGCATGGCCAGAGGGACTCCCTAAAGGGTAGGGAACAGATGAATGGATGAACTAAAGGTGAAAAGTCTCCATCTGGGACATTGTAATGGGATGTCCTCTATCCATCCATCCATCTACCCATCCAGCTTTCCATCCATCTATCCATCCAACTATCTGTCCATCCACCACCCATCTTTCCATCCTTTCATCCATCCATCCACCCATCCTGCCATCCATCCATTTATCCATTTAGTCATTTATTAAACAAGTATCTATGGGCACCTGGTGACTCAGTCAGTTAAGTGTCTGCCTTCGGCTCAGGTCATGATCCCAGGGTCGTGGGATCTAGTCTCGCTTTGGGCTCCTTACTCAGCAGGGAGCCTGCTTCTCCCTCTGCCTGTTGTTCCCCCTGCTTGTACTCTCTCTCTCTGACAAATAAACAAAATCTTAAAAAAAAAAAACCAAATATCTATTGGGCTCCTACCACATGCCCAGCACGGTACTAGGCTCTGGGAGTAATGGTAAGCAAAACCAGAGAAGGCCCCAGCTCTTGTAGTTATATACAGTCTAGAGGCTACACAAAGAATCAGCATACTGGGTGTATAACTGCAAATCAATCTGCCCTCCGTCACCTCCCTCTACTCCCTTGTTGCTCACTCTGTTCCAGTCATCTTGGCCTCGTTGCTCTCCTTTAAACATACTCCTACCTCAGGGTCTTTGTGCTATTGGTGTTTCTGGCCAGAGAACTCTTTTACCAGAAATTTACTTGCTAATTTCCTTGCCTCCTTCAAGTTTCTGCTCAAATCTCTCCTCAGGGAGTCCTACCCTGACCACCCTACTTAATACTTCAACCCATACTTCCTGATCATTCTACCCTGAGAGAGAGAAGGTCTTGAGATGCACCACCCAGATTCCCTTCTAGACTGAAGGATTTATCTTCCCAGTTGAGAATGTGGTCATGGATGGCCCTCAGCTCTCAACCTTCTTCCAGCATTGCCCTGAGCTGAAGAGAGCCATTCTGATCAGGGTTACCTCTCCCCAGGGGCAGCCTCTTCCCAATCTCTGCTCTAAATTGGGATATAAGGGCCTGATCCTCTTGACACAAATCTGGGCAACTCTGAAGGGTCATCCTCAGCCTCAGAGCTCCCTGTGGGGTTGGCTGAGACTGATTCCAAATTAGACTTCTCCTGCCCAGGTGGTTTCTGTTCCTTCCTTCCACATGTGTTGCTCCTGCATGCAACACATGGGAACATGGACTCCTGCATGCTAATCTACGTCTGAGTCTGCTTCCCAGGGAGTCCCATAGATAAAACCTTGCCTCTCCTTTTCTCGTCATCCTCCTCCTCCTTCTTTGCTCCTTCATCCTCCTCTCCTCCTCCTCCCATTCTTCTTCCTCTTCCTCCTCTTCATTATCATCTTCTAATATCTTATATCTTTTACTCATGTATTATGATTTTGTATATTGTGCATGCACACGCACACACACACACACACATCATTCAAATTTCAGCTGCACCAATGTCCACAATAGCCAAACTGTGGAAAGAGCCAAGATGTCCATCGACAGATGAATGGATAAAGAAGATGTGGTATATATATATACAATGGAATATTATGCAGCCATCAAAAGGAATGAGATCTTGCCATTTGCAACGACGTGGATGGAACTGGAGGGTATTATGTTGAGCGAAATAAGTCAAACAGAGAAAGACATGTATCATATGACCTCACTGATATGAGGAATTCTTAATCTCAGGAAACAAACTGAGGGTTGCTGGAGTGGGGGCTGGGGTGGGAGGGATGGGGTGATGGGTGATAGACACTGGGGAGGGTATGTGCTCTGGTAAGCGCTGTGAACTGTGCAAGACTGTTGAATCTCAGATCTGTACCTCTGAAACAAATAATGCAATATATGTTAAGAAAAAAAAAAGAAGAAGAAGGTAGCAGGAGGGGAAGAATGAAGGGGGGGAAATCGGAGGGGTAGACGAACCATGAGAGACAATGGACTCTGAAAAACAAACTGAGGGTTCTAGAGGGGAGAGGGGTGGGAGGATGGGTTAGCCTGGTGATGGGTATTGAGGAGGGCACGTTCTGCATGGAGCACTGGGTGTTATGCACAAACAATGAATCATGGAACACTACATCTAAAACTAATGATGTAATGTATGGGGATTAACATAAGAATAAAAAAAATTTCAGCTGCACAAGGGCAGCAATATTTGTTTGTTTGTTTTTTTTAAAGATTTTATTTATTTATTTGAGAGAGAGAGAATGAGAGAGAGCACATGAGAGGGGGGAGGGTCAGAAGCAGAAGCAGGCTCCCTGCCAAGCAGGGAGCCCGATGCGGGACTCGATCCCGGGACTCCAGGATCATAACCTGAGCCAAAGGCAGTCGCGCAACCAACTGAGCCACCCAGGCGCCCAGCAATATTTGTTTTCTTCACTAAGGTACTCCAAGTACCTAGAACAGTGTCTGGCACAACATAGGTGCTCAATAAATAACATCTGAATGAATGAATACGCTCTGAAGTGAACAAAGGGTTTGTGAGAACAAATAACTAAGGGCCATGCCCTAGTTTGAGAGTCAGGGATAGGGTCCCTGAGGAAGGGATGCTGGCACCAAGACTTAAGGGTGAGTGAAGAGGTTGGGTATTCTATTGCCTACCGAAAAAGGAAATCTAATCTATCATTTGATTGCACAAGAACTGTCTGGTTGTATCTAGTAAAGCACAAGCATGGCGTGGGATTGGACAGTCAGCTCAGGAAGATACATCTACTTGGCCAAGCCTTGGGGAAGGACAGCCAGGGGCTTAGGCTTCTCTTGCTCTCCCTCCCTGGACAAAGGGCCATAATGCAGTTACTCTCATGAGCCCTTTGCCCATAAGAGTACCTTTGCCTCTCTGGACTAGCAATGTAGGTTCTGGAAGTATTAGGCAGATTTCTAAAGTAGCAGTAATGTGCTCTTCGGGAAGGCCTCCTTGAATTAAATTAAACTGGAGTTGTACCCTATTGAAGACTATGCCTAAAGCTTGAAGGAGCAGTCCTCCTCATGTCCCCTCAAAGACAGCTTCGTCTGCAGTGACGGCTGACAGGTGGCCACAGTAAGCAAGGTCCACCCAGCTTCTGTCTCTACCGGGGCTGGGACTCTCACCTGGTCCAGTCTCACAGGTGACTGGAAACTGCTTTATCAGTGGCACGGAGGTGTTGCTGTAGTAATCGGTGTCCATGACCCACCAGTATGGACGCTGTCCAAATAGAATCCTGTAAAAAAGCAGAACAAGCGTCTGGAGTTACTGCAAGAACCCTTTTGCCTGAAGCCCACACCTTTGAGAAAAGAGAGTAGTGTGAGGAGAAGATTCATGTGATCCTAAACAGAAAACTATTAGCTTTGGCTGCCTCCAAGAAGGGGACCCGGGTGGCTGGAAAGCGGTAGGGGAGGGAGACTTTTTCTGGTACATCGTTTATATAACTTTGGAATTTTGAACTATTTGAATGTATTATTTATTCAAACAGAAATAAACTCAAGATCCTAAAAAATCCCTATTAACGGAAGCTATGTGACTTTTTTTTAAACCCCAGGAAGAATTTGTCCTGGAAGGACACGTACAGAACTATAGTTTGCAACTTGGACTTGCAAATCCTGCCAGGACCCTATGCTCTTTCCTCAGATCTCAGGGAGTCTTGGGTTTCCTCTGACATCAGAGAATGTGCCCTAGTCCCAGGGACAAGCACCCTCAGGAGATGTGGCCTCCTTGCCCTAAGAATTACTCTCTGTAAGGACATAGCTCCAGGTGCTTACTTTGTATCCTTTCTACCTTGGAAGAGGGTATAGCTCAGACAAACCACTTCCCCCTTAAAAGTACTAGATATGTTTTTCGTTGTGGAAACAGATGTCAAGGGTCAGCCCCTCGAGGGATGGAATAGTGATTTTTCACCAAAATCAGACAGCCACTAACTCTGACCTTTGCCAACTCAGAGAAAATGCATAATTCTTCAACCGAGATCAGATGTTTAAAATAACCCTTTATCTGTTTACTTTTTAAGGTCATGCTGTTGAATAAGGGACATTACAGACAACATTTAGATTATTCAACAGAGATTTCAGAACCATATCGATATGCCTTGGGCCTCTCGACCCCATGACAATTTTTATTTTTGGACACTAAGAGATGGTTTATTGTTTATGGCCAAAGAATATTAGAGCTAGAAGGGTCTTCAGAATCACTTGACAGTAGACATAGATAGTTTAGGGACGGTAAAGGTCTTAGCTGGCCCAAGCTCTTTATTTTGTAGATGAGGAAACAGAGACCAAGCCGGTAATGTGCTAGAGTCAACAGGTACTGGCTAATAATTGTAAAATATTTAGGATTTTGGCAAGCTTGACCCAACAGTAGATTGAAAGTGGCCCCAATGGGAATATAAACGCAGGAGAAATGGACAAATGCTAACATTAGGGCTTCCTCCTGCCCCCTGAGAGAGTTGGTTCATCAGCATTGAATATAACATAATTTTTAAGAACCTTGCCTCTGAAATCAGCCTGCCTGGGCTTAAATGATGCCTCTGCCTTTGACTGCCATGTTGGTCTAGTTGTGGTCGTTTATCTCGATGCCTCGGTCTCTTCATCTGTTATATTAATTATGGTAACTACCCCACAGCAAAGCACGTGGCACATGGCCTAGTACCTACTAAATGTTCAATAAATGTTAACTAGAATTATTATTAAGGTCCCAGAGATAACTTAAGTTTACAGATTATAAAATAGAAACTCAGAGAGTTGCTTTGACTTGCCCCGGACATACAGCCGGTAGGTGCCGAACAAGGGTTGGAGCCCAGTTCTCTGGGTTACTTCTCATTTTTCCACGCAATGGGTTTTTCAGTTATCAACCTGTCTCCTGTTTTCAGACATCATCTTTCATACATCTATCTTCATGTTACCTATTCTGCTTCAAAGTAATAAAACTCTGCTTCTTTGCTTATAACCTATACTTCAGACTTTTCACTAAGTCCAGCTGGCCTTCCATCCACATGAAATAGCCTTGCCTGTATCTTCAACTTATTGACAGGGTTTTCTCTGTCTTCCCTCTTTAGGTAGGCGATCCACAGTCGGAGGGGAGTAACCTGTGGCTTCCCGAATAGCACAGAGAAGGCAACTTCCGATGCACAGACATTTCCAGAGAGAATGCCGGCTTCTTCCCTTGCCGAGCTCCTCTCTGTCTGGCTCTTACTCACCACTTAAAGACAAGGTTGAGCCAGTCTCCAATCACAGCTACCCAGAGGAGCTTGATGCCCACAGCTTCACGGAGATGGAACCAGATGGGGAAGAGGACATAGAAGGCATTCCTGAGGTCTGCGATCATGGACACCAGGATGAACCAATCCTGGGAGTCCTGGTAATTCACCTGGAGGTAGTGCGTTGACTGGATCCCAAAGTCATGAAGAGCATTCATTCCTTGCTCCATCCTTCCTCCCTGGCTCCTCAGGCAGCCTTCCGTTAAGCCCTTGCAGCGTTTACAGACTTGGTGGTGATTGCTCTGCTATCAGCCTGCGCCTTGCCCCTGTTTTTATACACCCTGGATCCAGTCTGCAGGTCAACCCAGCCCTGATCTTTGGACTCAAAAACCACTTTTGTCTAAAATCTATTGATCAAAGGTGCATCACCAGGAGGTTGATGCAAACATACTCAGGGTGATTTACGTAAAATAGGAAAACAGGCACACAAAAACAGCCTGATCTGCCATGTACTCGGCTGGGCCAATTATTAACTTTGGCAGGCTGCTTGGTAGCACAAGGGCTGCCCTCCTGGCTCCCAAACCAGGCCAGAGACACAGGACAGAGTCTACATCTGCCATGGTTCTTGCAAAGATCCTGATTTCATATCTGCAAGTGCACTTATTTGCAGGCAAACAAAAGTCTTGGTGCTCTAGCTGTCATGTTTTAAGAATATTCCTTTTAAAATGCGGTAAGTTCTCTCATCCTGGGAACCATCACCTTGCTGGGCCTTTCTTAACTGCAGAGGGTCTCTGAAGTGCCTCTGGTCTGGGAGCTCAAACCCTCTTCCCAGCGTTGGCTCTGTATCTCTTAGGGCCAGAAAATAATCATCTTTGAATGCACTGATTAATTCACTTAATGTCCTTCAAGTTGGGACCTCTGGGGTTTTAACACACAAGTTTAAGCAGTAGAATGAATGTGTGTTCATGCAAAAACAATGTGATAATATGTGGTTTTCAATAAAAACACCAGCAAATTGGGACGCCTGGGTGGCTCAGTTGGTTGGGTGTCTGCCTTCGGCTCAGGTCATGATCCCGGGGTCCTGGGATCGAGTCCAGCGTTGGGCTCCTTGCTTAGCAGGGAGCCTGCTTCTCCCTCTACCTGCCGCTCCCCCTGCTCATGTGTTCTCTTTTTCTCTTTCAATCTGACAAGTAAATAAAATCTTAAAACAAAAACAAAAACAAAAACAAAAAAAAAACACCAGCAAATTGGTGACTGGGGACTCTGGAAAGGGCTTCTGTACTTTTTTAATGCACTTGAATGTAGCTGAGACACAATGTTACATGAGTTTCAGGTGTACAACTTGGTGATTCAACAACTCTACACATTATGCTTTGCTCACCACAGTGTAGCCACCATCTGTCACGGTACAACATTATTACAATACCACTCACTGTATTCCCTGTGCTGTACCTTTCATCCAGGTGACTTATTCATTCCATGAGGTCTGGAAGCCTGTATCTCCTGCTCCTCTTCTCCCATTTTGCCCATCCTCCCACCCTTCTTCCCTCTGGCAACCATTAATTTGTTCTCTGCAGTTATAGGTTTGATTCTGCTTTTTGTGTTTATTCATTTGTTTTGTTTTTTTAGATTGCACATATAAATGGAATCATATGATATTTGTCTTTCTCAGTCTGACTTATTTCACTTAGCATAGTACCCTCTAGGTCCATCTGTGTTGTCACAAATGGCAAAAAAAAAATCTCATCCTTTTTTATGGCTGAGTAATACTCCCGTGTGTATGTGTGTGTATCTATATGTATCTATATATATACACCATATCTTTATTAATTTATCTATGGATATATAGTTGATTTGCTTCCATATCTTGGCTATTGTAAATAATGCTGCAATAAACACAGGAATGTATGTATCTTTTTGAACTAGTGTTTTTGTTTTCTTTGGGTAAATGCCCAGAAGTGGAATTACTGGGTCATATGGTATTTCTACTTTTTTTAAAGATTTTATTTATTTGAGAGAGAGAGAGGAACCGGGCGTGGGGCAGAGGGAGAGGGAGAGGGAGAAGCAGACTCCCTGCTGAGCAGGGAGCCCGATGTGGGGCTTGATCCTTGGGACTCCAGGGTCATGACCTGAGCCAAAGGCAGATGCATAACTGACTGAGCCACCCAGACGCCCCTGGTATTTCTATTTTTAATTTTCGGAGGAAACTCCATACTCTTTTCCACAGTGACTGTACGAATTTACATTCTCACCAACAGTACATTAGGGTCTCTTCTTCATCACATCCTTGCCAACATTTGTTATTTCTTGTTTTGATTTTAACCATTCTGACAGGTGTACAGTGATATATATTTTTAAAAATATTTATTTATTAAGTAATTTCTAAACCCAGTGTGGGGCTCGATCTCATGAGCCTGAGATCAAGAGTCAACGTTCCTCTTACTGAGCCAGCCAGGTGCCCATGTGAGGTGATATTTTATTATGGTTTTAATTTGCACCTTCTTGAGGAGTTTCTATATTTTCTTTCTTTCATTTGTACTTGGAGATTATATATATATATCTATATATAGTCTCCAGGAAGTCAGTACAATTTTATTATAGCCCTGGATATAGACAAGGAGTAAATAAAAGTAACAGATACCAAGTTATGAGAAACAATGCTGCCTGCTTACCTGCACAAGCAGAAACCATCCTGTAGCAGTGCATAGACCAAAACCTCACACACTGGGTCACCTAGACCTCTGAAGGGAGCAGGGGGCTGAATCAGGTGACCAACTGACATTTTCAAAGATTAGAGCTGGTTAGAATAAAGTTTTCAAAACTTGCTTGGATTTCCCATCAGTAAGTGCATATTGCCTTGTAAGGGGTAGACTGGGGACAAGGAAAAGAAACTCAGAGCTAATGAATGGGTAGTAAAGGCTGACAACATTCCATGCTGGAATTGATTACAGTGTCATCCAGGAGGTATGATCTGGAATCCCCCCACCCCACCCCCGGGCTCCCACCGAGCTCAAGCGGACTCCAGCTGCCCTTGACCACATTGTCTCTGCTGGTCCAAGCAACCCCATCCTGCCACCTCTAGCCTAGAGAGCAGCTAATGGTGGTGGTGGCGGCTGTGGGGTGAGGTGAGAGTGCAGGTGAGGCTTGTGGTTGGCAATGTTGTGGAGGGGGGGTGTTCTGCATTGTCAGGACTGCAAGGCCACGGGTATTAGGACCCTTCCCTCTACTAGATTAGCCATCCTCAAAAGTATTGAGGAACTATTGTGGTGATCCCTGGGGACTGGAGTTTTTATGGTCTGAGGTGAGTCGAGGGTGAATAGGGCAGATCCTCTGACAAAATATTCAAAGGCCACTGTCTGGGTCTCCACAGGGCTGCTAGGAGCCAGAGCGTCTGACTCGGGTGGGGTTCCATCATATGCCTCAGCAGATGAGAAGCCAGTGGAGAGCCCTATCTTCTGGAAGAACCACAGGGAGAAGGCTCGTGTTGATAAAGAGTCATGATGGGGCTGATAACCCATTCTGGGCATACTGGGCAGCCTTCTGGCAGGCTGCCCCTCCAGGGAGGGGGACCCTCTTGGTCAGAGCAATTGTGTACATCATGAGACCATTTACTAGTCTTTACCTTTCCACCCTCCAGCTCCTTCCTGCTGCCTCTAGCAAATTTTTATCATGTGCAGAAAAGAATGAGGCCCCAAAGGACCTGACTCTGCTAGAAAGCTGACTGAAGAGAGAGATTGTAGAGTTCTCAGATCCTCAACGGACTTGTGGATATTTGAGGTGAATACCATGAACAAAGCATGTGCGTTGCTAGAGATTTGGCTGAGGATCCACTCAGTTAGAGACCTGTCTCCCAGAGGCAGGGTTCCATCATTTCCACCAAATCCTGTCAGCTTCCCCTTCAAGAAGTTCTCCAGTTTAACTCAACAAATGTTTCCTGAGCAAAGCACCTTGCCTGGCTCTCTGAGGGTTCAAAGTTAAATCCCCATGTTCTCAGGGACCTCGACAATGTGGTGGGGCAGAGAGGCCAGGCCTTTAACAGCCATGTCAACTGGAGGACCCTTAAATTAAAGCTGAATCCATTTGTACAAATATAAATGAGTTCCTTATTATTTTGTCCTCAGTGGAGATGACTCAAGACTTACTAACGTCCTCTGGGGAAATGACCAGCTGAGTCTGGGAAGCAATGAAGATGGAAAATTATAGAGGCCCCCCCGCCTTTTTTTTGACAGGTACACTAGCCGGGTACTCCTCAGGCACTTTCTCCACAAACAGAAACTCAGAGGCCTGGGGATCTTGGTTTGGGAAGAACATGAAGGAAAGGGGCCAGAAAGTACAATCTGGTCTGTTATTAAGTAAGCACAGCTGGTTCCAGTGTCCTGGCACATCCTTCTCCAAGAACAAGTTTGACTCACTCACTCGAACAAGTTTATTTGCCGACAGGAAAGTGAAGAGGAAAAGGAGCCAGAATTTGCCACACACCTCATCCAAAAATTGTATTTCTTACCAAAAAAGAAATTCTGACTTCACCTGCAGCCATGTCCTCTGTTCTGGCTGGGGCTCTGCGTTCTGTTGAGGAAGGAGCTGCCTTTACCTCGCTCAGCTGCAATCACTAGAGGGGTCTTGTCTGCACACAGAAGCAGGGATGCAAAACCCAGCTTCGATCCAGGGCTTTGAGCAGAGTAGACTTCTCTGAAGGATGATAGCTCAAACTGTACAAGATCCAGTTTTATTTTTTTAAATTTCTTTATTTTGGGGTGTGTGTGTGTTTTGTTTTCCTATGAAGTGATCAGTGGGGGTAAGGTGTTTAGGGGGAGACAGTAGACACTGGCTGGATTGACGACTGTCACCCTTTCAATGAGTGACCCAGTTCATTTTTTACGAAAACATGTTGGGGAAAGCAGGTGAAGGGAGAGGTGGGTTAATCATTGTTAGCCAGTGAAAATGACTGACTAATCTCTGGCGTGGTGAGAAAGTTCAGCTTCGGGACCTTGAACTGTGCATCTATTGACCAGGTGAGGGGAGCATGGTTGATGTCTCAGGATGGGCTGGACATTTTGTCCACAGAAAAATCCTGGAGGGCATTTGCTTCATCGTCAACAGTGAAGAACTCCCCGCTCGCTCCCTTTCTCCTGCCAGCCCAGGGTCTGCCTTCTACCAGCATCAGGTGGATCAGGAGAACTTTTACAGGAAGGATGGACGGACCGTCCTTTGCCTCCCCGCCATCTTCCTTAACCGTCCTCCCCAAAGAAGCTGTTGTTCCCTCCAGAGAATACCTGTTTCCACCAATCGTCAACCAGCCCCCTCCCCACCAGATGGTAGACAGTTCTCCCGCTCTTCATCAACCCTTTGGTGGTGCCAAGTCACCCGAGCCCTCAGGACACATTCTTGCTGTCAGATTTGATCCTTCCTGCCAGGAGTTAAACTTTGTCGATGGTGCACTGCACAGGCAGAAGCAAGGGAAGTAAGTCTCCAAAACAGTGGTCGGAACTATTTGCAAAAAGCTCATTTCCCCCTTTGTTTTGGTCTGTACCCCAGAGGCAAAGAGGGGGTGTCTGAGGTGAGACGGGAAATGTGACTCAAGCTAAGGATCCAGTCCCAACCTGCCATCCCCTCCTTGCTTCTTTTTTTATTTTTATTTTTTTTTAAAGATTTTATTTATTTATTTGACAGAGAGAGAGCACAAGCAGGGGAAGCAGCAGAGAGAGAGGGAGAAGCAGGATCTCCACTGAGCAGGGAGCCCGATGCGGGGCTCCATCCCAGGACCCTGGGATCATGACCTGAGCCAAAGGCAGAGGCTCAACCGCTCAACAGACTGAGCCACCCAGGTGCCACCCCCCCTCCCCGCTCCTTGCTTCAACTCACAGATTCTTCGAAATTCTTTGAAAGAATTAGGACCGAGGAAAGAAGAAGGGAAGGGAAACCAAGTCCTACAGCAGCCAGAGCTCAGCCAGGTGGGAGGTGGAGTGAGGTGGGGGCCGTGGGGTATCGGTGGCTGTGGGGCAGAAGGAGGGTCTTGGTTTTCCTCAGAAGATTCTCGGAAACACTCTCAGGCCTCCAGTGGGCAGCCCCGGAGACCGCTCCTCCCTCACCGCTATCACTAGGATTTAAAAGGAAAAGGAAATATTACAAGGGAATATTAAAGAGCTATGTGACCTTGGCTGAGTCACTACAGTTGTCTGGGTTTGACTTTTGTCAACAGTTAAATAAGACTTGGCGACTGTCACCCTCTGTTCTGAGTTAACCTTCCTGAGTCTTTGGTAGCTCCAGTGAGGTGGTGCCTGGCTTTTAATGATCTAACAGAAGTCAATGATCCATGATTGCTTGAAGGAAAAGATAAATATTTTCATATCTTTTTCATTAAAATACTTTCTAAAGTCCTATAGTCACAGGGCGCCTGGCTGGCTCAATTGGGGGAGGGGGCGACTCTTGATCTTGGGAGTGGGTTTGAGCCCTACATTGGGGTGTAGAGATTACCTAAAAAAAAAAAAAAAAAAGGCGGGACGCCTGGGTGGCTCAGTCGTTAAGCGTCTGCCTTCGGTTCAGGTCATGATCCCAGGGTCCTGGGATCGAGCCCCGCATCGGGCTCCCTGCTCAGCGGAGAGCCTGCTTCTCCCTCTCCCTTTGCCCCTCCCCTGCTTATGCGTGCTCTCTCTCTCTCTCTCATATAAATAAATAAAATCTTAAAAAAAAAAAAAGGCAATATAGTCACACAGTTTTTAAAAAATTCAGAGTTCAAAGGAGTATTCAGTGAAGCCAGTTCCTCCTCCTACCTCTGGGCACCTTCCAGACACTGGTGGGGCCAGCATGCAGCCCAGAGCTGCCGGGGGCCAGGTGGGCCAGGAAGCCCTCCACGGGTGTCCAGTGGAGGGGAGCTCCCCCCACCAAAGAAGGCAGTCAGCCCAGACCTAGATTGGAGGAGGGGTCTGTCCCCTCCCCCTCTCTCCTCCCCTGTCTCTTTCTCCCACAGCTCTGCCCTGCAGTCTTTTAATCAACTCTTTCCTTAATGGCCGCAGCATTTTCATCCCAACCAAAACACCATACTGTACAGCCAGTTATTAGCCCTTCCCTCTTCCGGAGCCCGGCTTGGGGGGACATAATTAGGAAATCAGTAGTCTTGGACCCTCTGAGCCCACACCTTACCCCCTCTGAGAATTCCCAAGTGACGACCACAATGCAGAGAAAGAGGAAGAGGTGAGGCCTGGAATCGTCCAGAAAACAAACAGTGAGGTCTCCCCGCCCCCCAGGCCTGCAGAGGATCCAAGGAACTATTCTGAGCTATGAAAACACGGCAGGGCTCTGCTAGGAAGTAAACAGCCGTCTGTCCCGCCAACGCCTCTCCCTGGACACGGGTGCTGACAGTGCCCGATCTCCGGCCAACAGGCAGGAGACAGAGGGAGAAAGGCAGGGAGAGTCTTGCGTGCCTCCCTCCTCTAGGGTGAAAAGGAAAGACAGTGTTTGCTCTATTTTTAGGATTTTAAAGATTTCCTTCACTTTAGTAGGGCTGAAGTGGAAGGAGGGTGGCACTGGAGTCCCGGAGGTCAAGGGGATCTCTCCAACCTTGAATTCCAGAAGGCAGGAAGCCTGCTGCTCCCTCCTCAGCCCTGTGCAACCTCAGCCTCTGCTCTACTGGGGACTCACCATGACCTTCTCACTGTCAGCTCTGCTGGTTGGTCTTTTCTCATCCTTCTTCTTCCTTGATCTTTTGGCCACATCTGACATTTCTGACAGCTGTCTTGAAGCGTTCACGCTCTTTGTGCTCCAGCAAGCTCTACTTTCCTTTCTCCTCTTCCTCCTCCCACAGCATGATGTTGGACTCTGCTTGGACACCACTTGGATGTCCCACACATTCCCCAAATCCACAAGTTCCTTCCAGACCTGTTCCTCCTCCGGACTTTCTTGCTTTGCATACACCTCTCTTCTTCTGCCATCCTCCAGGCACTGAGCCTGGCACTTGGAGTCATCCTTGATGCCGCCTCACTGGGTTCTGACCATATATTTTCTACTCTTGCTTCTCCTTGTCAATCTCTCTGCTTAGACCTGCTGGTCACTCCCTTACCTAATTATCTCCTACTCCCCTTCTCGCTGCCAGCCCAAGCGATCCAATATACTACTGGCAAAAGAGCCTTCTTACCATACAGCTCTTCTCACTTGTCACCTGGAAGATATCCAGTGGCTCCCCATTGCCTCCAGAGTGAAGTTCAAATTCAAGCTTACTCACAATCAGACCCCAGGTTATCTTTCTAGTCTCATATTTCCAATCTCTCCTTCATGGACCCCCTCACTCTAGTTTTATACTAGATAGGTTTGGATTTCCCAGATGCATCTTGGTTTTCCTAAATTTGCTCTTCCCTCCACCTGGAATACAATTTTCCCCAACCCCACGTGTCCAGATTCTAACCATGTTCAAGGGCAAGCTAATAAAGCCTTCCCAACCCACTAATGCTCACCCTTCCTCAGCTATAAAGGATCACGCTGACCTGAACTCCCCTAGCACTTCACTGTTCCTAACTTGGGGGCACTTCTCATGTTCAAACCTTGCATTACAGTTACTTTGCTTATGTCTCAACCCTTTCCCTGCTACCCTGGGCCCTGAGGGCCATGAAAACTTCCCTTCCAGCCTTCAGAACTGGGTTCTGTGTATATGTCTAGTACCAGCATGGTGGCCTGTGTAAATGGCTGTGACAGTTCTTCTCATCATGGCCACCTGTCCTTTTGCATTGTGACTTTGCCTGTCTTCTTAACAACATGTGAAGTTTACATCTCCATTCTTTGAATTTGGGCTTGATCTTCTGCCTTGGCCAGTGGGACATTAGCAAATGTGACGCAAGCAGAGGCTTGGAAAGCATTCACTCGCTAGGGCGTATCCGTTTGGGGCTGCAATTGGAATCCTGGGCCCCAAAGGGGAAAAGTCAAGGCTGGTCTGCTGAGACTCGCTGCTGTAACATGTGAACTGACAGCCAGTCCCAGCCACCAGACATGTGAGTGACACCAAATTAGACCATCCAGCTCCAGTGCATCTGCCAGAGATCTGTGGTTGGGTGAGTGATCCCGGCTGACTCCAGCAGAAGAAGTTCCCATGTGAGCCCAGCCCAGATAGCTGACCTATGGAATAAAGAACAAATAAAAACAGTTTGTTGTTTTAAGTCATTAAATTTCAGGGTGGTTTGTTATGCAGTAACAGAAACACCCAGCAGATGCTGGTTAATAAACTATTAAATACTAGCTAGTATTCATTGAGCATTTACTATATGTCAAGAACTGGTTCTGGAAAATTACACGGATTAACTCATTGAATCCTCATAAAAATTCCAAGGTAGATTTTATTACTGTCCCCATTTTACAGGTGTGGAAAATGAGCTACAGAGAAGTTAAGTAAGTTGCCCAGCGGTGACATTTGCCAGATCCAAATGTCAGCAATCTGGTTCTAGAAGCCACACCATGAACCATATACCATGTTGTGGAATGAGTGAACTCATTGAGGATGTTGCCTCACAAACACCATTTCCCACAGGCATGCCAAATTCTACAGCATTTGGGGGTCCACAGCTCAGCTTCTGCCTCTAACCCTCCCACCCCGTGCTTCTTTGGGTCTATCCCAGGCTCTGGGCCTTTCCTGTTTCAGGAAAAGCCCAGCGTGGGGAACTGATTGACAGATCTGCCAATGTCCACCTACTCAGAAACCTTCTGTGCCATCTCCCCCCCCTTCCTGTGACCTTTGCTGAGTAATGGTTCCAGCAATGCAGGTCTCATCTGGAGAGGGAATGCTCAGGCTCAGCATGTCGGTGTCGCCCTTTGGCCCCATGTCCTGGTTTAGCCTGTACAGTCAGGGTGATTTTTCACTTGGAATCTTTGGGCTTTCTTAGACCTTCCTTTTTGAGGTAGTCAAAAAGGAAAAACTGGATATGAAATGGCTTTTTACAAAACTGAGAATTACTTGAATATAACAATAGTTATTGTTTTTTCAGATTTCAACAAAGATGTATTTAAGCACCAATAATGGACATGACACCATGCTAGGCACCAGGCCAGGGAGGCCAACAGGACATGGGTTTTGCCCCTGAGAGCTCAGTCTCTCAGATGGGGAGTGAAGGGAGGATACGTGGAGATGATGAACTGGGAATCAGTGAATGAACCTCTTTTGTAGGGTTCTGTCCAAAGTACCAAGGGAACAGGGAGAACAAAGCAACTAGGTTTGCTCAGGGGGTGCTATTTGAGGATGAGTAAATGGAGGAAGGAGGAGGAAGGGGGAAGAGGAAGGAACCAGAGGAAGGAAGCAGGGGAGTGCAGAGACGTGAGTGGCTGGGAATGGACTGGGGAAAGACACATGGTTGGGGCATCTGGAGTGTGGGACATCAGGATGGCAGGGGCTGCTGAAACCAGTTTGTGAATGATCTCATATGTCTACTCTCTAGTAAGGAGCTCTGAAGATGTATTTACACTTTTATTTTTTTAGAGAGAGAGCAGATGCGTGCGAGCCGTGCTGGAGGGGCAGAGGGAGAGGGAGAATCTTAAGCAGGCTTAGGATTTCACCCAGTGCGGAGCCTGATGTGGGGCTCGATCTCATGACCCTGAGATCATGACCTGAGCTGAAAACAAGAGTCGGATGCTTAACCGACTGAGCCACCCTGCTGCCCCCAAGGAGTTCTGAATATTTATAAGGATCAGCTGGCCAAGGAAAAACTGTAGGAAGAGAAGGGAAGGAAGGTGAGGATTTGCTCGCAGTGAGTTTCTGCTCTGGAAGTTAGATGTGAAATCCAGGCAAGGCTGGGTGGGTTGTGACAGGAGAGTCTGGCTGATGTCTCCAGGACACCCCATGATGGTTTCTTGGCGAATTCAGCACAGTCCAGGGGAGGGACATAAATCAGAAACCAGATTCATCAGATCACCAAGGGAGATCATCTTTCAGGGAAGATCTAAATTTATCAAAGTAACACCTGCAGGCTAATCTTCATTTACAGTAACTGTCAAAGCCAAAGCAATTTTTATCAAGATACCAATTAATTCATTTCCACAAGAGATATAACTGACTTGCCCATTTTCTTCCCATGACCAAGGTGTGGTGGGAAGCTGGCCCAAGAAGCTGTGAATCAGAATCAGCAGTTGGTCATGAGCTAGGTTTGACAGTGTCTCGTGCCTCCATCCAAGCGTCTAGTGTGCCTCCAGGGCTAGACATGCCCAGCCTTGGGCCAGGTCCTCTGTTCTAGACATGGTCAGATTGTCCTGCTGGGACAGACTCTGTAATGCCCCTTTTCTGTGCCTTCTGATGAACACATTACTTCTATATCTTAGACACATTCTTTGTAGATCTTTATACATCAAGCCTCCTCTGGCCAGCTTGGAACTGAACTGCTGTCCCAGGGTTTTCACAACCTTGGATACATGTTAGAATCACCAGGGGGAGATTTAAAAGCTGCAAATATCTGAGCCTCACCCCCAGAGATTCTGATGTGATTGGTCCGAGGTACAGCCTGGGCAGGTGGAGTTTTACAAGCTCCACCAATGATTTAATGCGCAGTCAAGGTCGAGAGTCTTTGCTTTAAGGCAACTGTGCATATTTCTGCTCTGGTCCATTGCGTGTTGATTTTGCTCTTAGAGGGTCACTTACCATGGAATCAGGTGTCAAGTTCAACAATGCTTCTCAAGCATCACCTTGTTGAATTCTTTAACCAGGCCTGCCAGGCAGTGAGGAAGAGCAGTGGGATGGGAGAAAGCAGTCAGATATAATACCACCAAGACTTGGGTTCAAGCCCAGCCTCCTGCTTACTAGCCAGATGACTTGGGGCAAGTTACCTAATCCCTCTGAATCTTAGTTTTCTCATCTGTAAAATGGGAATGATAATAATATCTGCTTCTCAAGGTTGTTGTGAGGCAACAGATAGAAATTAGCTCACCATCGTAGTCTCCACCATACTGGCTCCAATTTCAGTGGGAGAAGCAAGAAAAACTGAGATATCACGCTCCTTGAGGGGCCTTAAGAAAGGGGGAGTCCCCCCATCATATTCTGGCCCACAGACATAAGGTCAAGGAGTATGAGGAACATGCCATAGGCAGGTGTCTAGGATAAAAGCCTTATAATTGATTTCCCTTCACAGAGTCCAGATGTGGGGAGGAAGAAGAATTCTACAGAAGCTGCATATACCTGCCTGAAGAGCCTGAGTAGAGCAAACATGGGCAACCATTGGCCATGGGCCACATTTTGGAGTGGGGACATGAAGCAGGTGCACTAAGAGGCCAGCTCACATGGATAGTGTGTGTGTGTGTATGTGTGTGTGGGGGGGTAGTCGCGGTCCTTTCAGTGGGGTCTGTAGGTCCAACAGTCCCCAGAGGGCCCACATCACCAGAGTTCTTTCCCACTCACCAGGTTCTCCCCACAATTTTGCTACTCTGACCCTTTGGGCTACATTCCTCAGGGTCTGGTTGCTCTTTTTCTTGTGGCTGGAAGGGTGTGTTCCCAGGAAGGCCTTCCAACAAGGCTGCCTCAGGGCTTTTCCTGAGAGTTCCCTGTGCACCCACTCCTTTGGGGTGGCTCAGATTGTCCCCTCTGACCCCACTGGGGAGCCCCATCGCACCCTCATCGGTTAGCCGGTGAGCCACAGTAGCAGAGCCCCTCAGGCAGACCTCAGCCTGGGGGCACAGGCCCCCTCTCCCCATCCTTGCAAGTGGAGAAGCAGAGCTGGAACTGCCAAGAGAAGCATCATCCTTGGTTCCTCCCCCAGCATTTGCTTGGTGGTGGGTGGGAGGCAAGATGAGAGCATCTATACCCATCAAGGTTCAAAAAAAAATTTTTTTTTAAGATGTTATTTATTTATTTGACAGAGACAGACATAGCCAGAGAGGGACAACAAGCAGGCGGAGAGGGAGACGGAGAAGCAGGCTTCCCGCTGAGCAGGGAGCCTGATGCAGGGCTCGGTCCCAGGACCCTGGGATCATGACCTGAGCCGAAGGCAGACGCTTAATGACTGAGCCACCCAGGCGCCCCAAGGGAGGCAAGATGAGAGCATCTATACCCATCAAGGTTCAAATTTTTTTACACAAGA